TTATGTGATATTCGATAAATATATACAATTTTTATTTTTAATCTAAAAAAGTGGAAGGGATATATAGAAATAGCCTGAAAGGAAAAAAAAAAGAGATTATTTTTCTGAACAGAAAATTCTGTCTTGATCACATCTGGAAACTAACTCACAGGACTGAGGAAGAGCTTAAGATATAAAACAAGAAGAAAATGTAGCTAATGTAGCAAAGAGAAGAGAGCAGGTAGTGAAGACAAGGAAGAATCTCAGTAACAACTGACGAAGTAAACGCCAAGGTGGAAAGGCGGTACTTTTTCCTCTGAAATGAAAGATCGAGGAGTAAAAAAAAGATCCTACAGAAAATAATGAAGAGGTGACAGAACTTATGTATCCAAGCAATTGATCATTTCTGATTTTTATTTTACCAATGAAAAGGAAAAAAAAAGTCTGAAAGTCAGATGCATGGGGCATTAATTGATTACCATAAACTCACGATCCTAAATGAAATCCGTTTTGTCAGGCCCCTGACAATATGCTTTACCTCTCCATAGCACGAACAGCAGTCCATCTTTCTGCTTCCTTCCATCATAGTAACTATTATCCCAGAGCTTATGTTCATCATTTTATTTTCTTCACTTTCATGTGACTTAAATAAATGTACATGTATTCATAAAAAGTGCATTTTCATTCAAGTTTTTTAAATCTTTTAAAGGAATACCATGATATATCATCATTAGCACTCTTTTTCCCCCTTCAGTATTAAATTACTGAGTTATTTATTTCACCGTAAGTAATGGTTCCTTTGTCTGGGTGGCTGTCAGGTACCCTTTTGTGTGAACATTTATACACCCTACCAACGATGATCAGCACAAGGGTTGTTTCCAGTTTTTGTTCTATTGTGAATAGTGATGCTCTTACATATTAAATATGTAAAAATGTCTTTTTTGTATATTCCCTTCAATGAGAAAAATATATTTCATTGTATTTCTTCCGATATACTTGTACGATAATTTTGGGTTGCATATTTTTGGATAATCAGAAGAGAAAAACTTTTTTTTAAGTTTCTTGAAGTTGAAAGAAAAAGAGTATGACAACTTCAGCAGCAGTTTTCAGCACTCACTGATGAAATGATTAAAGACAGACTGAAGAACGATAATTATAAAGGCAGAGAATTGAGCTGAAGATGAGAAAGGCATGAACTAAAGCAGTCCTGGGACGAGGCTGGTGCTGTGGAACCACCCTAGAACTCTGGGCATCAGAGCTCACTGGGCACAGAGCAACAAGCACACACAGATGTGTGCACATGCACGAGAGGGAGAAGAAAGGAGAAGCAAGGAAATGAAAAGGCATAGACAGTTTTGATCATTTAGTGTGAGATACTAATTAAAAGTCAATGAAGGAAAACCTGATATTAACAGAAGTGCTACATAGTTAACTCCCTCCAGCTTAATTATCCAGGCTATAGAAACAATGAGGAAGATGGAAGTCATGATATTTGCAGGACTCAGATGTACTTTATAATTTAGGCAGAAAGCTGGACAGCAGGCAATCTAGACCAGTTCCTGATTCCATCTATCAGGGACAGCTTAAGTGAGACCACGTAGAGCTGAACAAGGCCTCAAGTCTCAGAGCTCATTTAGTAGGTAAAGTCTGTATGAGTGATAGGCCAACCAACGCACTCAGGGATTTATTAAAATTCCACTTCTTAGAGAAGTATTTTCAGGAGTGGTCACATCAGAAGGGAGGATGAGACTGGGAAGCCTCCCCCAGGACAGGCCCTGCTCTCTGTGGCCCCAGGGACAATGAGGTTGGGCACTGATGGGCCTCTATTTTGCGTTCCTTCCACCCCTGTTTCCTAATTTCTGCTGTGCTCATTGTTTATCTTGGACACCAGCAGGAGAGGAATGTATGGAAATCTGAGTGCTTGGACTCAAGATATCAGCCAGAACCATTCCAAGACTGAGAGGACTTTCTTACAAGAATAATGGAAAAGAGAAGCTTCTGGGTTCTCCAGAGTCCTGCTGAGGTCCTCAGCTGCCTGTGTCCATCCACCTCTACCCCAGACAGGGCTTGCAGTGACAGTGACTGGAGGAGCCTTTGACCTCTGATTCCTGTCACAGTCACACACACACACACACACACACACCCCTACATATCACCTGCTGGAAAAACCACCTCCTTTTTTTTGCAACTTCTCGAACCTCTTTGTTTAACAAATCCTAAGACAGTCAACTGGTCCATCACTTATGCCCTCTCCATCTGAGGTAAGTACTTTTCTGTCTCAAGGCAGTATATGGAGTGTGGAAGTCTAGGATTAGGGCCAAGACTTTACACTGCTCTCCTTCTCAGATTGCCTACTTCCTCAGACATGGTAGCTCACTCCCTCCCTCAATACTCGAGGCACCTTGTATGTATATGTGTACTGCCTTGTATGTATAGGGACACCCACAGTCGTTCTATATCACTGGCCAGACCTGAGTTCATAGAATCCCTCATGCTGGCCTCTTGAAAAGTCTCATACTTACCTTTGGAACATGTGTGTTTTTCTGGCCTCTAGCAGTCTGGCATGTTTTCCCAAATGAGAAATACTTCAAAAAAGCTCATCTAGAATCAATTCAGATGCCTCTTGCTTACATGCCTGCTTGACTTTTTTAAAAGTTAAATGCCACAGAAAAAAGTCAATTGTAATCAACCAAAATTTTTTAAATTTTGGAATTATAAAAACAAACCTGACAATGACACAGAGAAATCACTTTTTAAAATCTTGCTTCTATAATTTTAGCTCCATCTTGTCTGACATTGCACATCTATTAATCTCATACTCGGCTGAATTCTATTGATTTGAGGTCCCCATGCACCACCAGCAATTTTCCGGAAATAGGCCCAGGGTATACTATTTGGCCTTTTCCTAATTGCCCTATAAGGGAGGAGCCAGTGAATGGAAAAGGAGAGAAAGCAATAGTCTTGAGTCAGAGGGAGAATGCAGGTAGGTTGGATCCTGCTTCCCGGTTACACCACCTTACCCAAGGTATTTGGCTATTTCTTCTTTTGAAATCCTGCCCAAACTCCTGGTGCAGAAATCTAGAAGAACATGACCTCCTCTCTCTATTTACCTACCCATTTGTCTTTTTATCCTATAAAACAACATTTCAAGTCTAATATTTGCTAAGATTTGTCTTCGACCTTGTCTTTTTCTTATCTACAGAAAAGGAAGACATCCCAGTCAATATTTATTAGACTGAACCTATAGTTTTTAGTTGTTGTTGTTTTGGTTTTTGGTGTGTATGTGAGGCAAGATAAAGATCTTACACTCCCGAAAATAATGACACATAATTTTGTTTTGTTTGTTTGTTTGTTTCTGGCTGGCTTCTTGCCCAGACTTGTGACAAAACTCCAGGGAGGACATTTTTGGACTATTGCATTGTTAGAAAAGTCATAATGTATTTTTTCTATGCTTTTCTATGCAAAAATGTGTCCTGACATTTCCTACAACCCAGTATGTCTCAGTGTCTTTTATAATCAAATTTCCTCTCTCTTTTTTAAAATTTATAATACTCTGGCTTTTTAAAAAATTTTACCAGTTCCTATTTATCTTTACACTATAGATTATATACTGCTTCCTTGGGGAATCCTTTCCAGAACTATCACTTATATGGTAACATAGTGTGTAATTATTACTTCATGTATCAAGCATCACCATTGGCAGTATGTAGGTCTTTGTGGGATAGGTTTTTCACTTCTATGTAGTTACCCTAGTGTAAAAGGCAGTGCCTATATATATTAAAGGTTCTTTGTAAATTTTTGCAAGATAAATGAAAGAAGCTGGATCACATGGGCCCTCTAGCATCAGGCATACATGATCCTAACATTAAAGATCCCAACTCTGAGTTGACTGGGCTAGTTACATAAACAGAATAGGAGGATTAAGTGCAGATGATACAAGACAAAAAATGATGGCTGTGAATTCTTCTCTTCCAGAGCATGCCCTACATCTTCCATGCAGCTGTGAATGACCTGTATTCATAAAGAGGAAACAAAGTAAACTCTGCCCCCAACACCCCACCTCCTATTTTTAACACTTTCCACTGGGAGTGTCCTATAGATTCAGGATTCAGGAGGACAAGCATCCTCCCTCATATTGCTAAGATCTGCGAGGTAGAGGACTCTCTTTTTCATCTTCAGAGTGTTCTTTTAACTCCCAGGACACAATATAGCTTTGTGCCTTTTCTCAATGTCCCCTCAATGTCTCCCCTTTTACCAAATATGCTAAAAAGAAACACCTGTTGTGCATGCTCCAGTCTCATCTATTGCCATTTCTCCCTCCTTCTTCCTTAGTAAATATCTTCTCATTACCTGCAAATAGGATAACACTTTCTGCACTGTTCCTCCAGAACCTTCTCCAACATCAAAATCAACCTGACCACTCAATTCAGTCCCAAGTTCTTTTTCCTTCCAGCAGAGTAGCAGTGTGCTCATCAAAGATATGAAGATGATTGAAGAGTACAAGTCATCAAGTTGTCCAAGAACCCAGAGATTCCAAGAGCAGTGAGATTGGAAAGTAAAAGTGGGTACAGATAAAGAAGAGAAGAAAATAGAGATTTTAATAAATAAAAGTTCTAAAACTGAATTAGAATTCTAAGAATACTTAAAACAAAAAACAGATTTTAAACCAATGCCCAGGGTATTTTCCCACTATTTAGGGATTTTTTTTTCATTTATCTACAAAAATATTTTGGGGGGGTTATTCTCTTGCATAACAAATTTGAAGGGATTTCTAAATAATTAAGATACCAAAATATCCATTCCCTACTTAGCTGATGATTTGTTATAATTCAATAATAACAATGAGAAATTCAGAAATCCGAAAATAGACCAAGCTAAGAGAAGGAAATTATATTATCTAATGGGATTCCTGTTAGCTATGCCACAGTGACCTGAGACAAACCAAAGCTAGAGTGACCTCCCTTAGAAAGGCTTGCACTGAGAATCCATTTGGTTCTAAGTAACTGAAGAAATCACACAACATGGAGCTCTGGAACTCCACCTCAGGAAGTGGCTTCATCTTGGTGGGGATTCTAAATAACAGTGTGTATCCTGAGCTGTTCTGTGCCACAATCGCAGTGCTGTACATGTTGGCCCTGACCAGCAATGGCCTGCTACTCCTGGTCATCACAATGGATACCCGGCTCCATGTGCCCATGTACCTCCTACTTGGGCAGCTCTCTCTCATGGATCTCCTGTTCACATCAGTTGTCACCCCAAAGGCCCTTGTGGATTTTCTAAGCAGAGATAATACCATTTCCTTTGGAGGCTGTGCCCTTCAGATGTTCCTGGCACTGACTCTGGGTGGTGCAGAGGACCTCTTACTGGCCTTCATGGCCTATGACAGGTATGTGGCCATTTGTCATCCTTTGAACTACATGGTCCTCATGAGACCGAGGGTTTGCTGGCTCATGGTGGCCACATCCTGGATCCTGGCATCCCTGAGTGCCCTAGCATATACAGCATATACCATGCACTATCCATTCTGCAAAGCCCGTAAGATCAGGCACCTGCTTTGCGAGATCCCACCCTTACTGAAGTTGGCCTGTGCAGACACCTCCAGATACGAGCTCATGGTGTATGTGATGGGTGTGACCTTCCTGATACCTCCTCTTGCTGCTATTCTGGTCTCCTATGCACTAATCCTATTCATGGTGCTCCACATGTCCTCGAGTGAAGGCAGGAAGAAAGCCCTGGTCACCTGCTCTTCTCACCTGACTGTGGTTGGGATGTTCTATGGAGCTGCCACATTCATGTACGTCCTGCCCAGTTCCTTCCATAGCCCCAAGCAAGACAACGTCATCTCTGTTTTCTACACAATTGTCACTCCAGCCCTGAACCCTCTGATCTACAGCCTGAGGAATAAGGAGGTCATGGGAGCCTTGAGGAGGGTCCTGGGGAAACACATGTTGCCAGCACACTCCACTTTCTAGGGAGGGCTCATGGCTGCGTACTGAAATTCATTTTCGTCAAGGTCAGACTCCTTCTGTCAATCAATATCGTGCAAAGTGAGTCTTTCAATAGACTTGTTTAGGAATATAATTGTACTTGTCAAATGCTCTTTAAACCATCTCACTATGAAGTAATTGTTAGGTATAATCTACCATATTTTAAATTGCTACTCACTTTTTTTTTTTAAATGTACTATTTTCTTAAGTTGCCACTTGCCTTAATGGATCTGGAGATATCACCTATTTGGGGCTTCACCTCTAATATTTGGAGTCCATATCAGACTGATGTAAGAACCAGAGAACTGAGAGTTTCAATGGGGTGTCCTAAGTGAGTCACAAATATCAATGGAGAAGAAGTCTTCAGATTTGCATGAATTTTAGATTAACTCTCCTTGTGAAAAGATCATATAGACAGTCTTGTGTAAAGTCCCAACTGAGTAGTTTGTATATATATTGATATTCTGTTAACTTCTTTTTATCAATTTAAGCATTGACCATTATGGATATTCTCACAGATGACTTTTCTTGTTTATTGTTTTATTGTTTGTTTGTTTTGCATTTGATGTGGAAATATTTTATAGTGCCTAATTCAATATTTCAATAGTGAAGAAATTAGTAAAATAGAAAATGAAGGCATTTCATAAGCAAGATGCATGATAAACAACTATGCTTCTGTCTTATTAATAATAAAAACATGCAAACAGAACAAAATACCATTTCTTTTCTTGTTTCTTTTTCCAATCCTGTCTTGAAATGTCCCAACAATTGCAAGGTTTCATACAGTTGGCTTGTATAGATGTGTGAGTTTGTGTATGTTGCTGAAAGAAGGAAGGGGCAATATAATTTACTGCCTCACTAACTTAAAAATGCTGTACTACTCTATTTATAGGTCTGGAAATAGTTGAAACAAAACTTATGAACAAAAGCCGTGAGTTTAGTTTTGAATCAAAAAATAAAATGGTTGATCCTGAGTAACATTATTTTGGACAGCTATTGCTGTTTCTCACATTTAGCATTTTTTTCTTTAAATAAAATAGCTCCATTTTATCTATTACATTAAAAAAAAGAATTTCTTTTAAAAATTAATAAATAAAATTCAGTATGTGTTACACTGTCAAAATCTACCTAAAATCTCCTCACCCAGAGATAATTTCACAAATATTTAGATGAATTTCCTTCCATTTTTAATGAAGTTATGTATTTTATTGAGTTGATATGTTCACATAGAAGAGAGGTTTTTGCTATAGGGCACATGTGCTCGCCAGAAAGACAGAGAGAAACAGAGAGACAAGAAAGCGAGAAATCATCCCCCCCAGGGGGGATGGCCACGTCGCAATCCCTTCTCCTCCATTCTCCTCTCAGGATCTTGGGCACTCACACACACATGCCCAGCGCGAGTTTAAGCTACTGGGTCCAGCACTCAAACCACCGTCGCCTACATGGGAGTCCAGTGACATAGCCTTTATGCCAACTGCTGGTCCCAAAAGACAGGTCTTTTTCTTTTTCTTTTTCTGCTTAATACATAGTGATTCCCCTCCCTCCCAAATTAATTATATTTTAAGTCTAAGGCTAGTTGTCAGAGTGCAGATGTTAAAATCCAATGCTTTCCACTTATATAATTCTGAGCATGCTATTTAACTTTTTGGTACCTTGAGCCTGCAATTCCATAAGCTGTAAACTGACGATAATAATAAAACCTACTTCACATTATTGCTGTGAAGTTCAGTATATTTGTATATTAATAATTTTTAATTACATTTTTAGGTAATAATTTAAATATCATATAATTTTTCTCACCTTATAATTTACATTTAAATTTTTAAATAAATTTCTAATTTATATTGATATGTGAAAAATAATGAGACTTGGGGACCAGCAGTTAGTGTAATGGCTATGTCACTGGACTCCCACATAGGTGATCGCGGTTCACATCCCAGACCCGATGGCTTAAAACTCAGGCCGGGCACGTGTGCGTGCATACCCAAGATCCCGAGAGGAGAATGGAGGAGAAGGGATTGCGGTGTGACCATCCCCCCTGGGGGGTGATTTCTCACTTTCTGTCTGTATGTCTCTCTCTGTCTGACTGGTGAGCGCACGCGCCCTATAGCGAAAAAAAAAAAAAAATCTTCTCCAAAAAAATGAGACTTTACTTTTTTCCCCAATATTATCACTCTCTTAGTAATATTTTTAAATAACCCTTTAATTTTTCCATTTATTGTTCTACTTTCTTTATCACACATTATGTTCTACTAAGCTACATTTTATCTGTCTACTCAGTTGTAGCTTTTTTTCTCCTCTTAACACTTTTTTTTGGGGGGGAGAGTTTTTTTTTTTTGTTTTTTTTTTTTGTTTTTGCTTTGGGAGGAATCACCCCCCATGGGGGATGGTCATGCCACAATCCCTTCTCCTCCATTCTCCTCTCAGGATCTTGGGCACGTACGCACATGCGCCCGGCGTGAGTTTTAAGCCACCAGGTCCGGGACTCGAACCGCGGTCGACTACGTGGGAGTCCAGCGACATAGCCATTATGCTAACTGCTGGTTCCCTCCTCTTAACACTTTTGAAGACATTTAATTCTATCATCCACATCTTAAAGGCTCACAGGTAATTTGTGAACACTTTCAACTTATAAAGTAATTGCTAATTGAGCATATCACTATACAATATTCAGCCTTGCTTTCTAGAATGGTTTACTATTATACTTCCCAAACCCAGTCTCATTCCTTTTTTAAATTACTGTTTCATGCCTTCATTCTCAGCTGATGGCCTTCTCCCACACTTCACTTAAAAGGAAGCATTCAGAAGGATTCAGAAGGCACTATAAAATATTTCCACGTCAAATGCAAAGGAAGCCCGGTAACTTCTCTTCCAATTTCCCACCCACCTGCTTCTGCACATAGACTCTGTTCTCTCATTACAACTGTCAAAGACTGACCTCCAGTAGCTTTGAGGATTCTGATCTCACTGATCTCAAAACTTTGCTGCTGCAAAATCCTTTCTTCTGAAATGATTTTTCTTGTTTCCCTGCATCATAACATAAGGATACAAATACATTCTGATAATCACTGCAATCAAGAAACCTTTCCATCACTCCTTCTTTTTTATTTTTTATTTTTTTTTTTTTGAGAGGTTTTTGCTATAGAGTATGTGCGCTCAATAGAAAGACAGAGACAGAAAGTGAGAAATCATCCCCCAGGGGGGTGGCCATGCCACAATCCGATCTCCTCCATTCTCCTCTCAGGATCCTGGGCACGCATGCACACGCACCCTGTGTGAGTTTAAGCCACCAGGTCCGGCACTTGAACTGTGGTCAACTACATGGAAATCCAGCGACATAGCCATTACTCTAACTGTTGGTCCTGAATGATTTGTTTTTGATTTTGCTACTGAATGTAGGGAGCAGTTGGATCTGGACAGAACAATGGTAGCCTATAAAGATGAACAAAGGCACAGTTTTCCCCAATTTATGCCTGCATTGAAAGGCCAGCAGAGGTAGAGAGTAACTGTGTATCAGCCAGAGTGGACCAGGGAGACCAGAAAAGGCCAGTCCAGAACTGCAAAGCACAGGGTGCTCCACAGCACCCGCTTGCATTTGCTGTATTTGATAGGGCATCCGGCTTGCATCCTGCTACCACCCCATCAGACTCAACAGTATACGTAACTGGAGCTATTGTTGCCCCCTGATGGCTCAGAAGGAGAATCAGATTCCTGTGAGAAGTTACTTCACACTCCTATATAACCCTCTGAGCAGCCTATGGGATTAAAAGGATGATGATAATAATTCTTTAAGTAATTTACATTTATAGAAGAGTTGGAAAGATAGTAGACTTTCTGGGACGCCTGTCATTGGCATTTTGATAGGAATTATATTGAATCTAGAGAACACTCTGAGTAGTATGGAAATTTTAACGAAATTCTTTCTTTCAGGCTTGGTGATGGTAGCATGTGATGGATACGGCTACTTGGCAACCTGGGGCAACAGTTCCAGGTTCAAGTTGGAGACCTCCCTGAGTATGCTGGGCATGTACTTTCCCATGATCTAGGACTGGCTGAAGGCTGGGGGTGGATTACAGTATGAAGACCACTAGAGGCAATCTCTCTTTCTGTGTCTCATTCATGAAACAAACAAACAAACAAACAAATAAAATACAGGTTCCTGGCCCTGAGGAAGACTACATGAGTATAAAAAATAAACTTGGTTTGGGTTCAATTTCCAGCTCACCCTAGAAAGTTCAGTGTGGTGACCATGCCTGTGGTCTCACTTACTTTGGAAGTTAAGCCAAAAGGGTTGTAACACAGTGAAACTCTGCCTAAAATAACACCACATACACACCATGAAAAATTAACTTCCAGATTCATAAAGCTAGGATGCCTTTTTTCTTTATTGGTATCTTATTATATATCTTTCATCAGGATTTCATGCTTTTCATTGTAGATATCTTTCACCTCTTTGGTTAAATTTGTTTCTAAGGATTTTAGTTTGCTTTATTTATGACAAAGAGTTTGTGCACACAGGTAAGTAAAGAAAAAGCATCCCCCAATGTGGATGAAGCAGTGTACTTCTTTATATTCCCCAAAGTTTTAAATTTAGAATTGAAGGCCATGTTAGAAATGTAACACCATGAAGATTTTATTTTTTATGTCTATACCTCCAGCTTCATAAATGTACCTGGAATATGTGTGTTCCGAAGTAGTTTGATAAATACATGCAATGATGAAATTAATGACTCCATATGCCAGAAACATGTTCGGATGTGATCAGTGTTGTTTATTTGTTCTTTGGTTCCCCCTTCAACTGTATCTATTTTATTTTATCTATTTCTTTATTTATTTTTTAATTCTTACAGAGATCTTTTATTTTATGGACATACTCTATCATTTCATTTCTTTGAGGGTATTAAATATGTATACATATACAAGCATATATATATTTTTTTAATTCTTTCTCTTTAATGTTCTTTAATGCTCTCCCTTTTATTTATTTTTGTTTATTTGTTTATTTATTTTCCACAAGCGAGAAATACAGAGAGACAAGCACTCCAACAGATCTTCATGTTCTAATTGCAATCTCACCAGCCTGGATCATGGGCATGTTTGTGTGTGCCCAGCATGCACAGGGAGGCCTCAGGACCTTCCTGGGTGGGTCAGGTTGTGTTACCACTGTACCAGTGACCCTCTCCTTGTTTCCTGCCATATGATTTTATGCCTCCTTGTTTTCATTGTCTTATCAGGTTACATGGGCTAGAAGATAAATGCCTGTTTTGTCTTCAATCTCCCTACCTTCCTCTTTCC